CAGTGGGACAGCTTGGCTGTGCTCAGCTGGGGATGGGACACAAGGAGCAGTCCCCTCTGGCTGGGCTGGCTGCTGAGCATTGCAGCTTTCCCCAGCAATGGCAAGGGATGCTCTTGCTTTGCCCACTGCTTTTTTTGCAGAGTCTAACGATGCACTTTCCCTGTGCACTCCTGCATGTGTCTTTGCTGACACCCTCTGAAGCATCTTCTGCATCCTCTCTCTCAGTTAAAGTGGGGCTCTCTTTGGGTCCTGACAAAGCAAGGTGCGATTCCTGCTCGCCAGTGTCTCTGTGGAACCCCTCAGTGAGCAGCTGGGGGTGTGGGAGGGAGGGAGCGAGCAGTACAGGAGAGGGAGCAACCCTCTCCTTCCATCGGGAGCACCGACACCTGGGGAGTGCTTCTGCCAGAAGCTGTTTGAGCTCCCTTGGCCTTTCTCTTCTTGTAGGTTTGTGCTTCTTCTATCTTCATTAACAACATGTACCTGTCTCTATCCAAAAGGCAGATTCTCTGTTACATAGGGCCGGGTGGTCCAAATCAGAAATCCTTGACTGTGCAGCCACAACTCCATGTCACGTGTTGTATCACACACTCAAATTATCTGAGCTGTTTAAAAGCAAATACCTAAACTTGATATGGCACAGCCTGTTTAATCCACACACCCAAGGCTAATTTGGTTCAGAGCCCACAGACCCACCACGTGCACTGTGGTTATGTGTGCTTATAGATAAGGAGTGATATTTCCAGCAGCCCCTGGTTTTCACCAAGTCAGGCAGGTGAGTGCCATTCCCACCCCCAGTTTGACTCCTCTGAAGCCATGCTTAGAGGAAATGGAATTTCGTGTGCAGACACAAGGGTAGAAGTACTTCTTATTCTAACTGGCATGGTATTATTGCAATAAAGTCTCCTAAGCAAACGACATATTTAATGGGCAGAAGGGAGATGTGCCATCTTCAGAAACGCAGTCGGGCTGTAACATTTCCAGGTGTAAAAAGTGGAGCCAGTTGCCAAGCTCAGGCATAGGAATTGCCTGCATCTAACCTATTTCAGTGTTTTCTCAGGGTTTCAGCCCTTTTTGCTCCCAGTTTCTGGGGACAAGGAGCTCAGAGATCTCTACTATTGGCATAGAATAGAGGGAAAATAATTCCGAGCATTTTACAGGGTGTGCTCTGTGTTTTAGGTGAAGGCAAAAGGATCAGCCTGTGCCTGAGCCTGGTCATAATTCTCATATTCTGCATAGTCTGTGCAAATCCAGACTCCCTATTCTGTTTTGAAGAGAACATATCAGGGCTGGGACATTTTGCTGAACAAAATGAGGATTGGGGAAGATTTCAGCAAAAGGGGGTGTTGATTTCATTTAATTTCATCGCACAGTGGCTATTTATTTCACACACACACACACCCCCCCTTGGAAATAATTTCTAGCAAAACATTGGAAGCAAAGTGTTTTACCTCTCAAAAACCTTCAGCTCATTGGTGGGGGAGAAGATGTCTCTGGCCTGAGTGGTGTTTGCACTGGTCCTTGGGTAGCAGGCAGGTGAAGGGGTGGTTTTTTTAGAATAATCCTGGCTGATCCCTCTGATAAAACCCGATGGATTTCATCTCAGCAACAGTTCCTTCAGTGAAGCTCTTGGGCAAAGGAAGGACACAGAGAAGGATCTGGGTAAAGGATAGTCCACAGCTCCCCAGAGACACAGGAGGGGCTGGGAAAAGGGCAGGGAGGTCAATCCCCATCTCACTCTCATCTCCACTGTCAACACACAGTGAAAGAATAGAGGAAACACAAGTTCCCCGGGTTTTAGAAGAAGCAGGAAAGCGGTGTGAATGGGTGGGGTTACTCTGCACCATGAAAGCAATCAGATGGGTTGCTAATGGCAGTAAAAGGGGGGGTATTTCTGCTTTTTTGTGCTGCCCTGGGTAGTCATCCTCAGCTGTGCAGGATGGTGAGCTAGAGGCATTTATGCTTTTCTACAAGCCACCCCCTTAGCTTAGTTCACTAGGTGAGTCGATCTTGCTTATCATCTCAAAAAAACACTATTACACGTGTGCAAGCACTGGGAGGGGTCGGGATTGTTAACACTGCTACAAGGTGACACGCAGCCCTGGCTCCTTACCCGCTCGCTTCCACCGGCTCTCGCAGACCCTCCCGTGGGTTTTGCACTGTGGGGTTGCGAGGCCTTCGTGCCTTTTTTCCCCCGTCCACAACTGCACAAGAACAGGGGAGGAGCAGGAGTGCAGGTGCTGCCGAGGCAGAGTGTCCTTGTGGCAGCACTGCCCGCGTACCTGGAGCTCAGCATCAGCCTACCATTTACACCAGCACTTCTCGCGGAACACTGGGCGGAGGTGAGTACGTGCCTTTATCGCTTTAAAGGGAGGGACGTAACAAGTGATAGGACAAGAGGAGGTGGCCTCAAATTACGCCGGGGGAGGTTTAGATTAGATATCGGGGAAAATTTCCTCCCTGGAAGGGCGGTCGGGCGCTGGCACAGTCTGCCCGGGGAAGCAATGGAGTCATCATCATCATCATCCCTGGAAGTGTTCAAAATGCTTAGGGATGTGGTTTAGTGGATAACATGGTGGTGCTGGGTTAGTGGTCGGACTTGATGATCTCAGAGGGCTTTTCCAACCATAACAGTTCTGTCATTCTGTGCTGAACGCAGGTGTAGCATCATTCAGCACCAAGGAAGCTCTTTGTCAGGTTGCAGTGCAGAAATTCAACCTAATGTGATACTCCTATTCCCAAAGTTACCCCTCGTTGCCTGAAATGGATGCTGAAGTTGGGGCTGCTCCAGGAGCTCCTATTCCTTACCAGTCATGCAGCACAATGTGGCAACATCTTTGGGACTTCACCCTTTTGTGTTCCCCTCAAATATCAGTCTGATACCTGTCAATCACCAAAGCTGCTTTACTATAAACAGGTGCACCAAGAAAATTAGTCTTGTTTTCCACCCAATCTTTATAAGCTCTTCAGGACTTAGTGATTGCTGATGAAACCAAGCTGGGTGAAAAGTAGGAAAGCAGCTTCCATCCTAAAAATCTGTGTGTGTGCATTGATGGCCTTAGACTGAAGGAAGGAAGGTTTAGATTAGAAAGAAATTCTCTAAGGGTGGTGAGGCACTGCCACAGGTTGTTCAGAGAGGTTGTGGACTCCCCATCCCTGGAAGTGTTCGAGGCCAGCTTGGACAGGGCTTGGAGCAACCTGGGCTAGTGGAAGGTGTCCCTGCCCATGGCAGGGGACTTGGACCTGGGTGATCTCTACGGTCCCTTCCAACACAAACCATTCCATGATCCTATGGCAAGAACAACTCTGAAAGTAAACCACTCTCCAGAAGTAACCAAGAGGTTTGCAGGTGCTGCCTGCCATAAACCTCTGGATATTCCTCTCACAGATGAGAGCCGGGAACTGAGGTGAGACAGTGGATGTAACGGTGGGACTGAAATGCGCAGACCTGTCATTGCATGGAGGAGAATTAACATTCATTAATTCATTAATAGTGTCTGGGAGCTGAGGGCGTCAGAAGCAAAGCTCCTCCATTAATCCCCTGGTGTTCTTATTCTCCCAACTCTTTGTCTTCTTCTTCTTCCTCCCGCAGAGCTTGCCGTGGCCCAGTGCACCCAGCGCCCCGTGGACATCGTTTTCCTGCTCGACGGCTCGGAAAGGATCGGCGAGCAGAACTTCCAGGCCGCCCACCGCTTCGTGGAGGAGGTGGCCCGGCAGCTCACGCTGGCCAGGAGCAGCAGCGACAGCATGAACGCCCGGGTGGCGCTGCTGCAGTACGGCAGCGAGAGGGACCAGGACGTCGTCTTCCCGCTAACCCACAACCTGACGGAGATCTCCGACGCCCTGGCGCAGATCAAGTACCTGGACTCGTCCTCCAACATCGGCTCGGCCATCATCCACGCCATCAACAACATCGTGCTCAGCCCGGGCAACGGGCAGCGGCTCGCCCGGCGCAACGCCGAGCTCTCCTTCGTCTTCATCACCGACGGCATCACGGGGAGCAAGAACCTGGAGGAGGCCATCAACTCCATGAAGAAGCAGGACGTGATGCCCACGGTGGTGGCCCTGGGGAGCGACGTAGACATGGATGTCCTGCTGAAGCTCGGCCTGGGGGACCGGGCAGCCATCTTCCGGGAGAAGGACTATGACAGCCTCTCCCAGCCCAGCTTCTTCGACAGGTTCATCAGGTGGATTTGTTAAGTGAAGGGCACACACACACACACACACATCCTCCTCTCATTGGTATACGCACCCCCGGTATTACCTCTTGTATTTTTCTTCCCCCTGTATGTATGTTTGCTAGCCCGGAACAGCTGCCCTCAGGGTCCTCCTTTCTAGCCAAAATCCAGAGCTCTTTATTGATTTTCGTGATGAAGAGTCATGTATGTTACATTTATGGTGCTAATTAAAACCCAGATCAAAGGAGGGTACAGAGCCATATGATGTACTTCTGAAAAGCTTTACACACACCAAGCCATGATTTGTGTACGTACTGTAATCCTAGGAGGGCTTATCAGAGAAGCAGAAAACCTTTCCAGTGTAGCAGGATGAATGAATAACTCTATAGTTTTCAAAAACTCTCAATATCACTCAATGCGTCTTGCTCCTCCTTCCTGGGAGCTATAGGATGGTGTGAGAGGTTTTGCTGCCTTCCACAGTTGTCTGCAGAGGCTTCTTTTGGGGGTCTATCTATCCTAAATTTCATAAATCATCTCTTAAGATCTTTATTTTCCTGTGGGCCATGTCTTCTGTGATTCCCTCTGCCATTCTGCCCTTCATCAGAACCTGCTCATTTATTAATGCACCCAAATTCCTGGCTGAGAGGGGCCTCCTAGCATCTCACAAAATACCAGGCAGCCACCAGAGCTGCCTCCTCCCTGCCACCCCAGTGTGCTCAAAGTATCAGTGGTGCCTTTTTCCCACCAGGATCTGTTGAGCAACGCCCAGATTTGAACTTGAACTGTGCTGTCTGCAAAAATAAACAAACCCTTTTCACCCTATCCTGAAAAAGCCTCTACATCCTGTAGTTTGTCTCATTTTATATTTTTTTAATTATTTTTAATGAGCAGCATTAACAGGCAGTGGGACCCACGTTCGCAGCCGGCACCATTGCTAACCAGGAAAAAACACACGGACACCAGCAGATTGTAAACCAACAGAGGATGATTTTCAGCAGGCCCTCCCAAAAGACAGACCATGGAGATGCTGTCCGTTGACTTGAGAGATTCCAGGGCAAAGCATTTACAAAGTAAATCACTCAGCAGGCAAAACACTGCTCTGAGGGAAAGGGAAGGGGAATGGAGAAACATGCAGGGCAGGGCACTCCATCAGGGCGTTTGGCTTCGTGTTTTGCTGATCAGTTCTGTGCAGGTGGGAGATGCCAAATGTTCAGTCAGAGTCAGAGCTGCTGCTTGAGCTGCTGCTTGAGCCACTGCAGTGCTGGAGGAGAGAAAACAACTTTTGGACACCAGCAAAAAGATCCCCTGTCACGGCATTCCTGAGAGGTGTTAGGGACCCTGTCGTGGGTGCCCCATAGTGGGAGAGGCTGGGGGGGGGGGGGCTTTCTTAACTTTTTTGAGGCTCTTTAGGTCAATAATGAAAATTCCAGAAGGGTCCTGCTCTCTGCCAGCAAGGAGAAACATCAGAGCAGATCACTTGCAGAGCTGCTACCCAGTGAGAGAGTTTGATTTGTTTGGGAGATGCTCTCACTCCAATCAATATTGGAACTGGGAGTGTGTTTAGCAGTCCCTCACTCAGACTTGCTCTGGATGGTGCCCATCCCTGTAATACCATCTTCTGCACAATCTACTCCCAGCACAGGGAATTGCTGCTTCTCTTTTACTTTTTTTTTTATGGGCATGGGTTTGGGGTGTTTTGGTTTTTTTTTTAAGAAGGAACTGAACAGTTCCTCTGGAAAGACACTGAGTGAATGTCCACTATAGAGGCATGACTCACTCTCAGATGAGCTGCATGGTGCCCCCTGAGCCACATCACTGCTTTGAATGGCTCCAAGGGATTTCATGGGTTGCTTTTCAAATTACTCACTGAATATGACTCATCCTTGACTCCCATTAACCTAACGGGAAGTTCCATAGCTAAAAAAAAGCCACTGAGGTTTTGGCAACCCCCTCTCACAGGGTGGGAGAGGAGAGCCCCAGCTGCACAGGCTGGATGCTGTGACGTGGGGAAGAGGATCTTACCTTGCCTCCGTGGTGCTTGGAGTGCTTCTTGTGGTGCTTCTTATGGTGCTTCTTGTGGTGCTTCTGATGGCAGTCAGGGGGGCACACCGGCATTCCCGGTGGTCCTGGATGGGGGTGCCCATGGGGATGGTGCCCCGATGGGGGGCACCCGTGGGGGTGATGCCCATGGGGGTGATGCCCATGGGGGTGATGCCCGTGGCCAGCTGGAGGCTGGCACGGGGGACAGACTGCAGGGCCACCAGGGCAGGGACCTGTGCCAGGACCAGGGTATCCCGGAGAGGCAGGAGGGCAAACGGCGATGCCACCAGGGTAGGGACCTGTGCCGGGACCTGGGTATCCAGGAGGGGCAGGAGGGCACACTGCAAGGTGTGGTCGTGGCATGCCTAGGAAGAAGAAAAGGACTGTGAGCAGGCAGGGACAGGCTCTCCCCAGACAGACAGTGCAGGGAGCTGGTGTACCCATGCACCCAAAGGGCCCCTCCCTGTCTGCCTCTCCCTCACAGATGACATCCCACGCCCCTCTGGTATGCAGGCAATCCCCTCCCAGCTGCCTGTGGCCATTGCCCTGAGCTCCTCTCTGAGCCCTGATGGCTGTGTGGTACCCACAGCCCTGTCTGGCCCCACGATCCCTCACCTTGGTTGGGGTCACACATCCTCAGTGGTCTCCGAGCTGCAAGGGAAGGACAAGCACCATCAGTCACCTCCTGCCACGTTGTGGGACCTGACTCCTCTGTCCCATAACATCTGTCCTGGGAGCAGAGACCACGCTCACTTCCCCAGGACTGCCATCCCATCCCCCTGCACACCCCGACAGCCCCCCTGTCCCTTTGGGGGACAGCACCGACCCCCAGAGCGACTGTCCCCACTACCGTGCACCCCCAATGCCCAGCCTGTGGTTTCCATCATTAATGGCAATAACAAACCAGGGTGCCCAGTTCATGTCTTCATGGACCACGAGGACTGGGGACACGTGTCTGGTGTCCCCACCACCCATGGGGACAGAGCGCCCTGACCCACGGGGGCCCCCAGTCCCGCTGCCCTGCACTCACCAAACCTGCCCAAAAGCTCCTGGCGACGCTGGCAGCGGTCTCGATCGCCGTCCTTGGCGCGGCTCTCCCGCGGTGCCGGGCACCTGTTAAATACCCGGTCCCTGCCCAGGTGAGGAGGGGTGGGGTGGGCAGAGGTGACACCGCCGAGCAGTGAAGCAGGCACCACCCTGCGCCAGGGCTGTCACCACGGGCACCCGAGAAAAGTCAACACGCCACTCCCCGCCGGGACAAAGGTCCCACAGGGCTTATAAAAACAGGCGGCGGAGGGCGGTGATTACAGCTCCCGGCGTCAGCTGATGGAGTGAGTCAGGCGGCCCCACCGTGAACCCGCGCTCAGTGCTCCCAGCACAGTGCCCAGGGACAGGGGAGACCCCTCCCCAGATGTGCTGGGGGACAGAGGGGTTCAGGGAGGAGGGCGGAGGAGACGATATCTGCCATCACACCCGGTCAGCAGGGACAGGAGGCAGGGCTGGCTGTCCTAATGTTCTGATCTTCCTCTTAGGGGATGTATGGGGAGGGAGTTTTTTCCCATCCCATCCCAACCCATCCCATTCCCATCTCCCTGCCAACACCCCTGATGGTACCTCGTGCTTGGCAGTGCTCCCTGTCGGCTGCTGCAGCACAGCCTCTCTCCTCAGAGGGCAGCAGGTGAGCCAGAGGCAGTGAAAGCTGGCATGGGGATGGGGGAGGGAATTTACCATTCCAGTTTGGCCACAAAACCTGCTCCCACTGACCTGGTGTTCCACAAGTGGCCTGGAGCAGCCACTGCTCCCAAAAACAAGCCAAATGCAAGCTGCAGGCAGCAGGATCACCCCGTCCAGGCAGGGATGGACACCCTGATACAAAGTAGGACGGGAGTCCCTACTCAAAGATAACGCTCCTGGGGGTGAAACAGAGACAGGGAGTCCAGACCCAGTGGACAGAACACCTGCATGGAGCAGCACCGCTGCATCAGCTCCATCAGGAAAAAAGTCCTGCTGCAGCCTCACAGGGGACACAGGACAAGACACGACTGCAGCCAGAGAGGGGCTGCAGGAATGAAATCCCACTGCCCCAACACGCACAGTGCACAACAGCTCTGCAAGAAGGACAGGCAAGGCTGCACTGGCAGCAAATCGGGGTGAGATGGGCTGTGCCAAACTCCGCTACAGCTGGGGACAGAGAGGCTGGAGAGCAGCCAGACAGAAAAGGATCTGGGAGTCTGGATTGACAGCAGCTGAATGTGAGCCAGCAGTGTGCCCAGGTGGCCGAGAAGGATCCTGGCCTGGATCAGGAAGAGTGTGGCAGCAGGAGCACGGAAGTGATTCTTCCCCTGGACTCAGTGCTGGTGAGGCCATCCCATGAGTGCTGTGTCCAGCTCTGGGCCCCTCAGGTCAGGAACGATGTCAAGAGCAACAGAAGCAGGTGCAGAGAAGAGCAATGAGGCTGGGGCAAGAAATGGAGCACAAGTCCTGTGAGGAGAGACTGATGGAGCTGGGCTTGTTTAGCCTGGAGAAGAGGAGGCTCAGGAGAGACCTCATCACTCTCTACAACTTCCTGACAGGAGGTCTGTAGCCAGGTAGGGGTTGGTCTCTTTTCCCAGGCAGCTCTCAGTAAGACAAGAGGGCATGGTCTCAAGCTCTGGCAGGGGAGGTTCAGGTTGGATATCAGGAAGAAATTCTTTGCAGAGAGGGTAATCAGGCACTGGATGGGCTGCCCAGGGAAGTGGTGGATTCTCCATCCCTGGAGGTTTTAAAGGACAGACTGGATGTAGCACTTAGTGCCATGCTCTAGTAACTGCAGTGGTGTTGGATCAAGGGCTGGACTTGATGATCTCAGAGGTCCTCTCCAACCTGGCTGATTCTGTGACTCGGGAGGTTCTCTCTGCCATGGTGAGATTTTTCCCAGCAATTCTTACCCTGGTGTCAAGGATAGCAGCCCACATAATTATGGTGTCTCCAGCCAGCCCTTCTACTATAGCTGGGAAAGCGAGAACTGTAAGGACTTTTACGGGCAGTGGGATCCACGTTCGCAGCCGGCACCATGGCCCAGGAAAAACCACACGGACACCAGCAGATTGTAAACCAGCACAGGATGATTTTCAGCAGGCCCTCCCAAAGGACAGACCATGGAGATGCTGTCCCTTGACTTGAGAGATTCCAGGACAAAGCATTTACAAAGTAAACACAAGAAAATCACTCAGCAGGCAAAACGCTGCTCTGAGGGAAAGGGGAAGGGAGTAGAGCTACGCGCAGGGAGTTCCCACAAGGTGTTTGGCTTCGTGGTTTGCCGAAGGTGGGAGATGCCAGATGTTCAGTCAGAGTCAGAGCCGCTGCTTGAGCCACCGCAGTGCTGGAGGAGAGAAAACAACTCTTGGGCACCAGCAAAAAGACCCTCTGTCACAGCATTCCTGAGAGGTGTTAGTGACCCTGTCGTGGGTGCACCATATTGTGGGAGGCCTGGGGGGGGCAGTTTCTTAATTTTTTGAGAGGCTCTCTAGGTCGATAAAGAAAATTCCAGAAGGGTCTTGCTCTCTGCCAGCAAGGAGAAACATCAGAGCAGATCACTTGCAGAGCTGCTACCCGATGAAAGGAGCTGATGGCTTGATTTGTTTGGGAAATGTGCCCGCCTCCAATGCTGGAACTGGGAGTGTGTTTAGCAGTCCCTCACTCAGACCTGCTCTGGATGGTGCCTATCTCTATAACAGCATCTTTCTGCACAATCTACTCCCAGCACAGGGAATTGCTGCTTCTCTTTTGGTTTTTTGTTTTTGTTTTTTTTTTCATTTCTTTGCTTTTTGAGTTTTGTTTTGGGTTTTGGTTTTGGGTTTGTTTTTTGGTTGGTTTGTTTGTTTGTTTTGTTTTTCTTTTTAAGAAGGAACTGAACAGTTCCTCTGGAAAAACACTGAGTGAATGTCCAGTATAGAGGCATGACTCACTCTCAGAAGAGCAGGACAAGCCCTGTGATTTAATGCACTTGCATGGTGCACCCTGGGCCACATCACTGCTTTAAATGACTTCAAGGAACTTCATGGGTTGCTTTTCAAATTACTCACTTAATATGGTTTCTTCTTGCCTATTTATTAATACAACAGGAGTTTCTACGTCTAAAAAAAAAAGCCACTGAGGTTTTGGCAGTCTGCTCCAGCCACCACAGGGTGGGAGAGGAGAGTCCCAGCTGTCCAGCCTGGATGCTGTGGTGTGGGGCAAGGGGGCCTGAAGGAAGGGCCTATTGCCACCTCACTCTTACCTTGTCTCCACGGTGCTTGGAGTGCTTCTAATGATGGTGCTTCTGATGGCAGTCAGGTGGTCCTGGATGGGGGTGCCCGTGGGGGTGATGCCCCGATGGGGGGTGCCCGTGGGGGTGATGCCCGTGGCCAGCTGGAGGTGGGCAGACTGCAGGGCCGCCAGGGCAGGGACCTGTGCCGGGACCAGGGTGTCCTGGACCAGGAGGGCACACTGGTGGTCGTGGCATGCCTAGGAAGAAGAAAAGGACTGTGAGCAGGCAGGGACAGGCTCTCCCCAGACAGACAGTGCAGGGAGCTGGTGTACCCATGCACCCAAAGGGCCCCTTCCTGTCTGCCTCTCCCTCACAGATGGCATCCCACACCCCTCTGGTATGCAGGCAATCCCCCCCAGGTGCCTGTGGCCATTGCCCTGAGCTCCTCTCGGAGCCCTGATGGCTGTGTGGTACCCACAGCCCTGTCTGGCCCCACCGTCCCTCACCTTTGTTGGGGTCACACATCCTCAGTGATCTCCGAGCTGCAAGGGAAGGACAAGCACCATCAGTCACCTCCTGCCACAGGGACGTCATTGCCTGACCCAGAGCTGGGACCTGACTCCTCTGTCCCACAACATCTGCCCTGGGAGCAGAGACCACACTCGCTTCCCCAGGACTGCCATCCCATCTCCCTGCACACCCCGACAGCCCCCCATCCCTCTGGGGGACAGCACCAACCTCATGGACCACAAGGATTGGGGACACGTGTCTGGTGCAGCACCACCCATGGGGACAGAGCGCCCTGACCCACGGGTGCCCCCAGTCCCGCTGCCCTGCACTCACCAAACCTGCCCAAAAGCTCCTGGCAACGCTGGCAGCGCTCCTGATCGCCGTCCTTGGCGCGGCTCTCCCGCGGTGCCGGGCACCTGTTAAATAGCAGGTCCCTGCCCCAGTGAGGAGGGGTGTGGTGGGGTGGGCAGAGGTGACACTGCCGAGCAGCGAAACCGGCACCACCTCGGCCACAGCCGTCAAGATGGGTACATAAAAAAAGTCAACACGCCACTCCCAGCCAGCACAAGGGTCCCACGTATAATGAAACATATCAAAATGTCCCACAGGGCCAATAAAACAGGTGATGGAGGGTGGTGATTACAGCTGATTGGAGTGAGTCAGGCAGCCCCACTGTGAACCCGCGGTCAGTGCTCCCAGCACAGTGCCCAGGGACAGGGGGGACCTTCCCACAGATGTGCTGTGGGACAGAGGGGTTCAGGGTAGGGACTGTGACTCCCTGTGACGCTGCTCAGGGTGCTGCTGCGGTGTGAGGTGGAGGAGATGACATCTGCCATCACACCCGGTCAGCAGGGACAGGACGCAGGGCTGGCTGTGCTAATCTTCAGATCTTCCTCTTAGGGGTTGTATGGGCAGGGAGTAGAGTTTTCCCCATCCCGTTCCCATCTCCCTGCTAACACCCCTGATGGTGCCTCGTGCTTGGCAGTGCTCCCTTCCCAAACAGTGCAACAGGCTGGGATTATCACACACCACCAAAAAGGCACCTTGCAGAAAGGGACTGGGCCAGGTCTTGCCCCAGGTTTAGGGTAGGAGGGTGTTTTCCTGAGTTTTCTGGGCGTAAAATACAGGAGTGTGCAGGGTCAGGAGGTGCCCACGCACAGCCATCCCCTCCTGGGCACTGCCAGTGGGTCCCAGCTGTCCCCTTTGTTAGGATCCCTGTGATCCCAGGCACTGCCAGCCCAGCCATCTCCTTCTGCCCCAGGGATGCCAAGAAGGGAGTCTGGAGTCTGAGCCCCAGAGAGTAAAAATCCCCCTCGGCCAGGGAAAGGCCAGCAGGGAATGTGACACTGGGATCTTCCCAAGCAGACCAGCCCTCCAGAGGCCAATCCCAAAAGAGCAGACACAGGGACGAGTGGGTTTTCCAGCTCTATTTGCCAGTGCAGAACTCCCAGACCACTTCCCACGCCCTCCTCAGGCCTCCCTCTTCTCCAGCAGTGCCAGCACGAGTGCTGAGCCTTGCTTTGCCTCTTCCAGCAGCCCGGAGACCTTCTGGGACATCTGTATGGGCAACAAGATGTGGCATTTACTGCTCAACAGGACACAGGAGCCACCCACCATCCACCCTGTGCAGAGGGAAGGAGTGCCTGGGCACGAGGGGTCCCAGGGGCTTTGTCTCTGTGCCACCTCAGCCCCACCACCACACACACAGCCCCTGGTTATTACCACAAGCTTGAACTTCTCATCCGTTATGTCCTTGAGGTTGATCATGACGTTGAAGTAAGCTCCAAACACGGCTGCTTCCAGCATTTTGGCTCCCACCTGGGAAGAGACGGGCTCGGGAGCAGCTCTCCTCCTGAACCAGCACCGCCACACAGGACTGCAGAAGGGCAGACCCCTCGCACTGCAGGACTCCTCCCCCACCCAACCTGTTGGTGTTCTTGGGAAGTGGCTCAAGCAGTGGGAAGCACTGCCACACACAGCAGGAAACTCCAGCAAGGGCTGGTGGAGGTCAACTCTCCTACAAGGAGCTTTTTTTTTTTTTTGCAAGCTGACAAACAGTGGGTGGAAACCACTAGAGATGCCCCCTCTGCAGGTCAGGACATGAGGACACCTTGCAGGGCAGGGGGTGAGCCTGGGGCCATACCTGGATGTCAGATTTGCAGGCCAGGTTGCAGTGTCGTGCCAGTTCCTTCAGAGCAGGCCAGAGCCCACTCACCTTCTCTGCCAGGGCATAGGGCACCCTCACGGCCGTCTTCAGCCCCTGCTGCATGGCAGCCACGCGTCTGGGAGGGGGAACAGCCCTGGGTCAGTGCTGGCTGCCCGTGCTCCCCCAGTCTGACAGTGCCCACCGGCCCAGCTCACCTCTCCCGCTCTTCAGGGGTGCTCTTGGGCAGCTTCATGGCTTCCTGTGGGCAAAGAAAAGCAGTTTTGCTGCTGGCACCAGGACCATGCCTTGCATCAGCAGCTCGGGCATGTCCCAGAGCTCCCGTGCTCTTGCAAACCTCCCCTCGGTGCTGATGCCCCTTCCCCTGGGCCTGGCTTTAGCATCCATGGAAGTGTTCAAAAACAACGAGCAGACGTGGCACTTTGCCACATGGTTTAGTGGCCACGGGTGTACTCAGTAGAAGGTTGGATTTGATGACCTTGGAGGTGTTTTCCAACCTTAATGATTTTATGATTGCAAGGTCACAGCCCTGCTGTTAAGGATGCCAGAGCGCAGCGATCCCAGCCCTCCTCCCAGCTGGAATGCACCCCACACAAACACTTCCCTGCAGGATGCCTCCCTCCGGTGGGATCTCACCATGTAGCTGCTGAAGGCACGGGAGTCAGCATCCACCATTGCCACCAGCTCCTCCATGGCCTGGTGGAAGGGGGGGATCAGCTTCCTCATGATGGGGTCCAGGTCCTCGAACTGCCGCTTGCCGTAGCTCATCAGCCCCACCATGCTGCCCAGCGCCGCTCCCTGCCAGGGCACGGGGGGGAAATCCTCCAGCAGGACGTAGTGCCCACCATGCTGGCCCCCTTCAGGGGCTCCACACACCAAAGTGGGCCCCCAGGGCTCCCCCTCGGCGTGAGGGACGTACCAGGGCGCCGGCAGCTGCAGACACGGAGCCTCCTCCTGGCGCCGCCGACCTGCCGCCGACTGCCCGCACGAAGGCGCCCAAAGGCTTGGCCACCAGCCCCCCGTCCACCTCTCCGGCCTCCACCAGGTACCTGCGGCACAGCAGCCCCGGGGTTTGCAGTCCCCAGGTGCAGGCACACCACCCTACCCAGACCCTCCTCTCCGACAGGTCGTCACTGACCCCACGAATGAGAAGGGGGCTAACCCAAAAAAAAAACCCAGCATGAGGAGAGAGGGCTGGGACACCCCCCTGCCCCATGGGGACAGCTGGGAGCACAATGTCCTGGTGGTGTGGGAGGCTGCTCTGGATCAGACAGGGTGGGCTCGTGCGAATGGAGTTCTGTGGGACAGAAACACCTGCAGCCATGTCCTAGTGGGGACAACAAGGACTTCACCTCGTGGGTGGATTTCCCTTCCTTTGGCCCCCTCAGACACGTGTGTCACACCGGCTGCTGCAGCACAGCCTCTCTCCTCAGAGGGTGGCAGGTGAGCCAGCGTCAGTGAAAGCTGGCACGGGGATGGGGGAGGGAATTCAACATTCAAATTTGCCCACAAAACCTGCTCAAGTGACCTGGAGTTCGCCCACTCCATGCTCACAACCAGCAGTGTTTGGGAGCAGGGACCAGGCCAGGCCTGCACAACACCCAGCAGAGATGTCCCCTGGGTGTGACCCAAAACAAGATGAAAGAGAGACACAGACAGCAGGATCCCCCCGTCCAGGCAGGGATGGGCACCGTGACATGAAGCAAGGCGGGGGTCCCTACTCGATGATGCGCTCCCGGGGGTGAAACGGAGACAGGGAGTCCAGGCCCAGCCGACTGACCACCTGCAAGGAGCGGCACCGCTGCGTCAGCCCCGGCGCGACAAACCCTGCCACGGCCTCCTTCCCTACTGCTAATTAACCACGGGTGAGTCAGCAGTAGGACAGAGTTATTTTGGCCACCACCCAGGGAGAAGACAGCTGGCACCACCGCCCTGTGTCCCATCCCAGACGTGGGGGAGGCATGGGGTCACCTACATGACTGGAAACTGTACTGGTTAATCATTAGCTTGCTCTTATCTAGCACGTTCCCCACAGGCTGGAAAAGTCCCTCCCTCCCACAGTGGAACAGCAGAGCCCCATCCCCTCGTTTCCTGCTTACAACTGTCCTGGGACAGCTTCCCATAATGCCACACACTGTCCTTGAGCTCTGGGGACACCTCTTTCCCCTCCTTGGTCTCCAGGTAGGCAAGATGGGCAGCTGCTCCCCACACTCTGTCCTCATGGGCTGGGGTCCCTGCTCCCTGAGCATTTCAGCATCCTCAGAACAGTAAAGCAACTTGTCCCACTCACTGTCACCCCACATAACCCTCCCTGAAGACCAGAGTCAAGCCTGGGGCCTGAATGGTCCCAAATCTCTGCTCAGTGCCGCTTTGGGAGGCTGGGGGAGCGGATGTGTCTCTCTCATGATTCCACCCATGTGTTGATACCAGGAGTCATCACATTACCAGCCTGATCTTCTGCTCTTCTTCCAGGATGAAGAGTTTGTCCTTCTTGATGTAAAACTCAGCTGCGTCCAGCATGGCCTTCTTGGGAATGAGTCCCACCAGCTGGGACCCCACCACGGGAAGATTCAATGCCTGCAGAGAACATAAGAAATGTGACCATCCCCAGAGCCTCGCTGCCACTACCACCCCAGCCTGGTGGTCCTCAACCCGGTTCCCAGGACACGGGAAGCTCATGGAAAAGCCTTCAACGGAGGAGCTGGGGGCTAGCAGCAAATTGCTGAGCTTTTGGGGTTTTTTTGTGCCATTCAGCATGAGATAAAGCAGATCCTGACCTGGGGACAGGGAGAAAAACTTGGAGGGAGACATCCTCTGTGAAGCCCCCACCGGAACAGGTGCCCCACGCCACCCACCTCCGCGTCCCGGCAGACCTCCTCGTAGACGGCGTGGAGCGGCGTGGCCTCAAAGTCCAGCAGGT